TAGCACACACACACACACACACACACACACACACACACACACACACACACATTCTTTTTAATTAATTCCATGTATATAAATACACATAAACATAAATTTTGTTTGTTTGTTTGTTTGGTATAATTAAAAAAAAAAAAACTAAATTACCTTGTTTCATTAAACTTCTTTCTTTTCTTTAATAGTTTAACGTTAACTATGCTAACACAAACCCATACAAAAATATTTTTTAACAAAACCATTTGTGCTATGAAAAGTGAAAGTCCAGTGTTTATCTTATACTTTCTTTCATAATCCTGAGAATCTTGGAGATTTCGTTTTGGCTAAAAATATAAAATCCGGTTTATAAATAATACATATACATATTTTATTATCATCATCATCATTAAAAATAATTTTTAAGGAAAAAAAAAAAATGATATTTACTTGTAAATAATCCATAAAACTGTAAACTGCCCTACATTCTAATCTTTCTGAAAATATTTGTGCCATGTTACCAGAAGCTTTTAATAATTTTATCAACATTATTCTATATTCATTACAAGACCTGTAATAATAATAATAATAATAATAATAATAATGATAATTAAATTTATTTTTTTTCCTTGTTTATGATTACATGTAATAATAAATCAGGGTCACACTTCAAGCAAAAAAAAATTTTTTTTTTTTTTTTTTTATATTGATTGTTGTTGTTTAAATTTTTATTTATTATTATTTTTAGGGGACCGTTTTCTGTATTTATTACGTCTTCTGCTGCTCGAACGAGTTTTCGGCGAATAAAAAATTAATATAAAAGGTAAATATTACAACACAAAAAAATTTTACACCTTTAATCGTAAAAAAAAAAAAAATTGATACGAAGGGGGGGGAACACGTTACGTCACGACGACGGCGACATTTTGTTTTTAATAATTCACAAAAAAATAAAAAATAAAAAAAACTATGAATGAAAAATTTAATACTCTAAATAATTTAGTTACGTAAGAAAAAAAAAACAAATTGTTTAAATTTAAAAGTGACATAACGTACGTAATTTACAAAAAAATTTTTATTTACGTATCATTAAATTACCCAAACAAATAAAAAAATTATTATTAATAATAATAATAATGAAAATGAATGATCGTTGCTTAATAATAATAATAATAATAATAATAGCAAATTTTCGATTACGTAATTTTAATTCATGTCTGCCTACCTTAATATTTAACTACTACGTACCTAATGAGTTTTAAATTGTTCGATAATAAAATCAAAAAAAAAAAAACTTTATGTAAACTAAAACAAAATTATGTTTTTTGCATGTTTTTGTTTTATTCCATGTGTTTAAATTTTTCTTTTTTTTCAAATAAAACTTACCAGTAATACCCGACGACGTGTAAAACATAAACACAACATAATAAAATAAGAAACAAACTCGATACGACAATTAACGTTATACACCATTTATAAGAAGGAGGTTCCATTTCAATTTCTTTTTCTTCCATAATTATATCACCTTCTTTAATAATTCTTCCACTTCTAGAAAGTAATGTTCTAATAACACAATTTTTTTTTATTAAACCCACTCGAATTATTATTATTATTATTTAAAAAAAAAAAAAACTAATGACACGTTGTCATCATCATTATTTACCTGCATTTTAATATAATTGGATTTTTTTCACATTGTTTTCCATATTTTATTCTTAGCCTTTGTCTTCTAAATATATATGCTCTCCTACCCTGATAAAAACACATGAAAGAAGCTATAAAAAAAAAAAAAAAAAAAAAAAACAAATAATAATGATGATGATACTCATGTGAATTTTACAACAAAAAAATATTATTATTATTATTTTAAAATTATCCTTTAACTTACATATTAAAAACAACGGGACGTGTAATAACGTTATCGTCTGACAGTAAATAACTCTACCACCTGTTAAAAAAATCAAAAAAAAAAATTTGTGTGAGGGGGTTTTTTTTCTTTCTTTTTGATTTTAATATTAATAATAATAAATACCAGTGAATTGATCGGCGAATGCTTTTCCAAAAAGTATACATTCGCAATCGTAATCGTGACAAGTGTTGATAGCTTTTGCCCAATAACCCCAGGGTAGTGATGTCGTTATAAACGAAACTAATATGAGGCTGGAAGACATTACGTATGAAAAAAAATGCCTCGTTTCTTCATCTTCGTAAAATAGAAAAAATATTATTATTATTATTATCACCTTCCCTCATTCGATTTAATAATCAAAAAAAAAAATTATTATTACGATATGTTATTAATTAACTTACGCATTTTTAATTTATTATTATTATTACTATTATTAATTAAATTAAATAAATCAAACGAAAATAGCAATAATAATAATAATAATTGAATTCATTTTTCACATATGTACATGATAGAATAAAAGATTAGGTTACTCTGTCGACTTTTTTTTAAAATCGAATCACGATCGAATGTGTGTGACGAGTTTAAAAAAAATCTTTATCATCATTTCTTATCAGTAAAAAAAAAAAAAAAAAAAAAAAAAACAATTCAGTGTTATTAAATATATATATATATATATTTTTTTTTGTGTGTGTGTATATTCGTTTTTCTTTTTTTTTTTTTTTTCATTTTCTCTCTCTTTTTTTTTGTAGGTCAAGTGAAAAGTGTCATTAACCTGATACGATAGGTACCTACCTATCTACCTACCTACCTACCTACCTAAACCGGATGAATTAAAAATTATCCGAGAGAACTTAAGCTATTATTAAATATCATGGCAATAAATGACGACCGTCAAACGATCGACGAGAAAAATCCCTTCGAGTTATGCAAAACCTTCAGGTTCGTAACAAATTATTATTATTATTATTATTATAATTAATCGTTAAAAATTTATCGATTGATTTTCCTGAAAACGTATAAATTTTGGGCGCCTTTTTTTCTTCCTTTGTACTTATCCGAAAATCTTCCAGTTGCGTCATATCAATACGTATCAATAAAAAAAAAAAAAAAAAATCATGCTCATTGAACTTCGATTTTCATATCTTTTTTTTTTTTTTTTTGATTTTCCAACTCATCATCAGATGGTCAAAAAGATAAATTTTTAATGCATATCAATTATTTTAAATCAATAGATTTATTATTATTATTATTAATAACAAACAATGAAAAACGCAACGTATTTTTTTTCTAAACAATTTTCTCGCGAAACCTAATAATAATAATAATAATGATATTATATTTAATTAACAAAGTCGTAAGAACACACAACAACTCTCGTTATAAATTTTTAACAATGAAAGGTGATATAAACAAAACAAAACGTAAACTTTATTAATTACGAAGTGAAAATCATTATTATTATTATTACTATTATTATTATTATTATTATTATTATTATTATTATTATTATTATTATTATTATTATTATTATTATTATTAGAAAATTTTCAAATTTCTTTTTTCGGTTTGTCTAGTAATAATTTCATTCATACATTTTTTAAATTTATTAATTTTTCCAAAAAAAAACATGCGGAAAAGGAATAAAGGTAGAAGGGGGAAAAAAAAATTGATTTGCTTTTGAAATCGTTGTTGTTTGTACGTGAAACAAAACAAACAAACAAACAAACGCATTTTAAAAACTTTATTGTTACAAATATGTTTTATTTATGTTTATCTTTTGATTAGGAAACGATAATTTGAGGAAAAAAAAAATTTTTTTTTTTTTTTTCATTTTGCTCCGGGTGTTTAAATTTTATTATTATTATTTTTTTTTTAAAATGTCCATTCATCCCTCTTCCCTTATCCCCTCCCCTTTCTCTCTCTCACCTCTCCCCTCGGGTATTATTACGTACGCTCGACAGGAAATAGTTTTTTAAAAACGAAATTCATTTCTACAATTAAATTTTTTTGCAATAACCTTAAAAAAAATTTGTCAATTTTTATTACGTCAAATTTTCGTTTGTGTTTTTCTAATTCCACGACTTTCCCCCCGTTTTTGTTAATAATAAAGATAAACATTATTTTTCTATCTGTTTAACTATGATAGATAAAATCATAAAAGTTTTAAAAAAATTTGCCACGTGAATTTTCATTCGCTATCAAATCGAATTTTCAAATAAATAAATAAATAATAATAATAATAAATTCAGGGTACGCGCACATCCCCAAGTATTATTAACGTAATTAATAATTAATTTAATTTTTTTTTAATTTTTTATTATTAAATAATTTCTCGTTAATAAGTTATAAAAAAAAAAAAAAATTTCTTGTTTATTTAAAAAGTTTTTTACTCTATTAAATGAGTTGAAAATGTGTTTTAAAGTTTTTCCTTTTCCCTTCCCCTCCCCTCCCCTCCTTCCTCCCCCGTCACCGGAAACTTGTTCGATTTAATTTTCAAGTAAAAGGTTCATTTTTTTTTCCCCTGTAAATTATTCAACCTTTGAAAATTTTCTTTCCAATTACGATCACTTAGGGAATTTTTTCTTTTTTTTTTTTTTCCGACCCTCATCACTTCCTCGCTTTCTTTCTTTCCTTCCTTCCTCCATCTTTTTTTTTTTTTTATTTATTTATTTAAATGAAAATTCTTTAAGTAAACTGAATAATAATGATAATAATAATAATAATAATAATAATAATAATCTTGATTTTTCCCACCGTTAACAAAAAAAATTTCATTCTTTTTTTTTTTTCCTTGTTTGTTCGAGCCTATTAATTAGTAATACTTGATAATCTTTATAAATAAGTAAAGAAGGAAAAAAAACAAAAAAAAGCAGAAGACATAAAAAAAAAAAAATTTTTTTTTTTTTAAATGAATTAAAAATAAACATAGATATTATTTATTATATCCAGTATCTATCTATATAAATAATTAAACTCTCATAATCAACAATTTGTTTTGTAATTTAATTTTTAACGAATATGTTTTACTATTATTATTATTATTATTATTATTTTCCGTCGGATAATAAACGTGGTGTGTGTGTGTGTGCGTGTGCGCGCGCGGTTTTTATTTATTTATTTATTTATTTTATTTTTTATTTTTATTTTTATACTTTAGGATAATATAATAAATTTTTCATTGTTATTATTATTATTTTCGAAACCGTAAAATTTAAATTTTTTTTATAAATTCGTGTGTGTGTGTGACGATCTGTTTGTTTTGTTTGTTTTATATTTCATAATAATAATAATAATAAAATTTTTTATTATTGTATTATTGTGCGTGTTAAAGTTCAAGGTCACGTTCAATTATTGCCATTTTTTTTTCTTTCTTTTGATCTTCTGCTATAATTTTGGACGCAAAAAAATATATATATGTATGTTTCAACCCCGGAGAAAATATTGCTTTTTTTTTATTTTTATAATCGTTTGTACGTTTGTTCGTTTGTTTGTTCGTTTGGGGTAATTTATGTGAAATTAATAGCTTTATAAAATGTTACCCTAGGGCTAGGATATGTTTGGTTTGTCGATCTTTGCATGTTTTTTTTTTTTTTGATCGTGTGATGTTTCTCCCCCTCTCTCACTCTCTCTCCTTCTCTCTCTTCCTCTCTCTCTCTCCCTCCCTCTCTCTCTCTCTCTTTTACTTTCTCCTTTTTCGGTTTAAAAAAAATTAAAAAAAATTTTTTTTACTTAATTTTAAATTAATTTTTATCAAATAACTTTTTAATTAATTAATAACAATAAAGAGATGATCGATTCGTTTGATAAAGAAAAATAATAATAATAATAAAATTTCGTTAACGTGTATATTTTATTATAAAAAAAAAAAAAACAAAATGGCGTCACTTTCGATATAGAATAGGTTTTTTTTGTTTTTAAAAAATTTGAGTCGTAAAAAAAAAACTGCGTATTTTATTACGAGTGAAATTTTACTTTTATTTCCGGTGAAAATTTTCTTTTTTTTTTTTTTTTTTATTTGAATTTTTTCGCATATCGAAAAACTTTTTATAATTTTTTTTTTTTTTTTTTATCGTATCGAGTTTTTCATTTTTCTTCTTCTTATCATTCTTTTCAAAATAATAATAATAATAATAATTTTTATGGGGAAAAATGCAGTCTCGCCAAAAAAAAAAAAAAAAATTTTTTTTAAAAAAAAATTTTTTATTTTTTTTTATTTTTCTCCTCTCAAGTTATTAATTACATTAAAAGAAAATCCGTTAGGAAAAGGAAGAGGGAGGGGGGAGGAATGGGTAGGGGGTGTGTAGGTAAATTTTTAAAAATTGATTATTGAACTTTAAAAAAAAAAGTTTTCAAAGGTTGTCATGAATATTTCCG